TGTTGTCTTGGCTGCAAATGCCAGTTGTGATCATTCCTTGGGACAACTTCATTTCCAGCGTACTTTTTATTAAATGCTAAGATATCTATGTGATATCTGTGAAGTGCCTCATTCTTAACTGGAACATTTACAAGCTGTCTGTCTTCTGCCTAACATAGCAGAACCCTTTTATCCTGGAGCCTCTCTACCTTACAACATGTGGATGTCAGTTTAAAGCTTAGTAGATGGGCATATATTGTCACTTTGTGTGCATAAGCTTTTTCTACAGTAAACAAGGCTAAAGAGCACTCAAGTTTAAAAAAAAAAAAAAAAAAAAGCTTCCTGTACCAGCTGGTGTTACATGTCTGCACCTGGATTACAGGCTAGACGGTGTTCTGCCCTTGTCTTTGGACCTGCATGGTCCCCTCACACAGTCTTGGCCGACCTGCTGCTATTTGGGTCAGATATGAAACTGAGCCTTTTCCCTGCTGCTGTTGAAAACTGGTCTGACGGGGTGGATGTGCCAAGGTGGGTATCCAGCTAAAAGTGGAAAGAAGCATGGTGTTTGTGAAACCTTGTACTTGTGAACTCTCTGCGAGGCTGCTCATTTTAAGTGCTTACTATTATTTTAATGAGCTATCTGTGGGTTGTTTCAAGTTTAGTTAGAAACTCTGATTTTTGCTTCAATATTATGAAAGCGAATAGTAACCTGGACTTGGCTGCACTCAGACACTTAAAGGAAAACCGAGCAGCAGGCCTATTTTATCAGTGGACAGGAGATGTACCTGGTTATTTGACCAGATGCTTGACTCAGCTGGCTAAAACAAATTTGGCTAAAGCTTTTCTTAAACTTTACTTGACAGTACCAGGTTACAGCTGCATGGGACAGGTTAGTGCTCTGTGGGCTCCAGAGCTGCTCCAGTACCTCAAGAGAAGAAGCTGCCCTGACAGCAGCTCAGTCGGCTGTCCCAGCCTGCAAAGCCTTGTACCCTGGTGCAGGGTATCCTTGGCTGGCTGGCCAGGCAGCACAGCGTGCTGTGGCTCTTTCGCTTTGCGTCCCTGTGGCAATTGCTGGAGGATTTGGGTCGATGACGGTGCTCACTCGATGCCAGGCGCTCTCAGAGCTGGGCGTCTGCCTGTGCTCAATGCAGCCATTTAGCAGCTGCTCCTAGTGGGCAAGTGGAAAGCAGGTTTTTGCCTCTATTTTTAAATTGCAGTATGTAGAAACCAATGCAGTGCAGTCTGCACTATTTGTGTGATAACTTGCTGCTGCTTGTTTATGAGATAATTACTGTACTATCCCTGAATGAATGTCCTCTAAGGTAAAAGACATATCAATCATATTAATTATTGCTAATAATAGTAATTAGCATGTGAGTAAGCTATTTGCTTGTTTTGTGAGTTTAGGCAAGTCACTTCCTTAATAGCTTGGTTTTTTTTCAGCTATGAAATGGGGAAAATAGTAGTTTTCCTCAGTGTTGCGTGCCATGAGAGTGTTGCATGTGTTGTGGTTTAACTTAGCAGGTGGCTCAGCACCACACAGTCATTCACTCACTCCCTCTTTCTCAGTGCAATGGGAGAAAGAATCAGAAAAACAGAACTTATCTACTAAGATAGAGAAAAGGTAAAGGACAATAGTTAGGACTGTATGTATGTATATGAATGTCTATAACAAGTGATGCACGAGCAATTGCTTACTGCCCATGACCGTGCCCAGGAGAGCCCCCCAGCATGCAGTCACTAAACTTTTCTAAACTTTTCTAAACTTTCCTTCCGTGTGATGTCATGTGGTATGGAATATATCTTGGGCCAGTTTAAGTCAGTTGTCCTGATTCTGTCTCTTCGCAGCACCTTGGGCCCCTTAGAGTCATAGAATCACCAAGGTTGGAAAAGACATGTAAGATCATCCAGTCCAACCATCCACCTATCACCAGTATTTCCCACTGTGTCTCTCAGTACAAAATCTAAATGCTTTTTGAACATCTCCAAGGTTGGTAACTCCATCACCTCCCTGGGCAGCCCGTTACTGCACCTGACTGCTCTCTCAGAGAAGAAGTATTTCCTAACATCCAACCTGAACCTTCCTTGTTCCCTTGAGGCCGTAAGGCTTGGGAGGCCCTTGTGTCTCCCTGCTTCTTTTGCTCCGCTTGTTGGTAGGACAGCAGAAGAAACTGGGAAAACTGAAGTGTCCTTGGCTTTGTACAGCACTGCTCAACAACAATTGGAAGCATCAGAGTGTTACCAACGTTGGTTTTCTCCTAAAAACCAAAACAAAGCATTGCACTATGAAGAAAAACAACTCTGTCTCAGCTGAAACTAAAACAGTATGAAACAGACTGCATCAGCTGTATAGGAAGAGAGGTCAGTTATCTGTGTTTGCCAGCTGGTACAGAGCCATGTGGAATTGAGGAGCAGCAGCTCACGAGCTGTGCAATGACTGGGATAGGGGCTAGTAGCTTTGCTGTGCTTGGGTGAGGTAAGGTTGTTTCATGTCTTAGGGCAGTCAGCTGCCAAACACCCTTGATATTATAAGCATCGCTAAGTGTCATTCTAAAACATCCTTTTTGCCAAGTTTACTTTGCATCCTCGTTCAGGGCAGAATCAGGCATGATTGACTTCTGCCAGAATGCTGTGCTGAGGAAATCGCAAGATTAGAATTTGAGGCCCCTCTGTCAACCTGAGAGCTGCCAGGGTCTGCACGCCACAACAAGAAGCAGGACGTACAGGCCCTCATGTACCTTCTGTAGTGCCTCAGGAGATGCCAGCGCCTGCCCTCGCTGAGGGCGTTGTTTCTTGTAGAGATGCTTTCAGCAACATAGTTCAGGATTTGCCCCTGATTATCTGTGCTGCTTCTGATCACAATGGGTGTGCAGTGAGGGTGATGGACAGAGCTTTACTACATGAAGCCAATTCTCTCCTGTACTGGTGAAGGCAGTGTGTGTGAGTAAGTTGGAAGTGCATCAGCACATCAAAGACGAGTCTGTGGGCAGAGTGTGGCCCCTTCATTTCCCATACAAAGGCCAAGATATCCTTCAAAAAGCTATTCTGACCTCTGTCCTTTTCCTCCTCTTTCTCACAATTTTATTATTAGCTCCTTTATTTTCATTTAGGTAAGCACATCAGGGAAAAGGACAGCAATCCTTGGTTTCTTGTCTGGAGTAGATCTCTTTCTTGGCCAAATGTCCTCTTGCCCAATGCTGTGCCTGGTCGGCCCTACACCTTGGCAGACAATGTTACTCGTCAGCACGCTGGCACAAGCTCTGTACTCAGAAGTGTTCTGAAAGATGACAACAGTGCTGTAGTTAAGACCAGGAGCAGGCTGGGAAGGGCGGTGACAAATCTTTTGGTGGAGAGGTTTAGGAACAGTGACAAAGCAGCAGAGATCGAGTGCTGGTTGCTCCTGATCCAGCCTGGAGAGGCTCTGTGACCCACCCTGAGAGCTATCCTGGCCCTGTGTCTTGTTTCTGTGATATATGGCACAGAGCTGTTTTACCAAAGAGTCTCAAAGAAGATTGATGGTCTCAGGGCATTGTCCATGCCGCCAGGCTCCTGGTCCCCACCAGAGCTACCAGGCAGCTGGAAAGACAAACAAGAGCTGGCTCCACCTACCAGCAGTATGGAGACAGCAGCCTGTGAGATCAACAGCCCAAGAATGTGCACACAAAAGAAACATTTCCCTCTGCCACGACAGTAAAACCGCCAGACAACCACATGCAGCATGTGATTTCCCAAAAGCTTCAGTCCAGATCCTACGTTTTTTGTGCCACACACTGTTTCCCAGGATTGGATCACAGGGGCAACATGTAAAAGGCACTTTTAAGCAATGAAAATTAATCATATTTTCCTCAACACTGCTTATGGAAACCGTGAAGAACATTTCTGCCCCTCTGTGCTTGGCCAACTGGCTCAGCTCTCTGGCCCTGTGAGTTGAACCCACCGCAGATAGGCGGTGTTTATGGGGCAGCTGCTCTATGAGAAGTCCAAGCTTGTTCTGTGTAAAAAAAGCTTCAATGGTGACCTGGGAGAGGTTTTCTATTGACCTGTAGTACAGAGTCTTTTGCCCTCTTCATTACTCTCATGTCCCTGACAGTATTGCTGCTGTGCATTCCCATCCACAGCTGATATGCAGCCTGCAGTACGCACTGTACCATCTGCCTGCCTAAGCTGCAAGTGGCTTGTGAGAGCATCCAAGTATTTGGAAGCTTTGGCCACTTGGAACCTGACAGGGAGTGGAAATAAGGTGTGTCAGCACTGGTTTGGTTTCCATCCACTAGCTGGTTTTACACTGATAAAATCTCTTCCCCTTTGGTGTAGCAGTTCTGATGTACAGCAGAGATCTCGTGTGTGGTACCTAAAATCTGTCTGGGCTCAGTTATTTCTGAGTTTGTATCCGTTTTGTTGGGACTCACTGTAGTCTGTTGTTTACTTCTTAACTGTAAGGGGTGCTGCCAGTTCATGATGACCACTGGCTTTTAGAGTTCTGTAAGATTTCATGAAATCTCTTGTTTTCAGTGTGATTTTCTGTATTCACCTTCGTGTGTGACCAGTACTGCCTTAGTATCACAGGTAGTTCAGTGCATAGTTGTTTTGACATTGATGCTTTAGTGACAGGAACAGCCATATGCTGTAGTCTGTGTTTGTGGTCCTTCAGAGACAAATGTGTTGCTGATGTTGATTCCAGTGGATGTGATCCAGTGGATTCCAGTGGTGTGATTTTACTTACTAAGGGAATTGTATCAATTTACAAATGAGCCTTTCCCCACAGAATAATCCTCTTTGGTTTTAGATTTCAAATTTTCCAGGAACTGGTATCAGCTGGGTTCTATCACTCACAACTAATGTTTGGTTGATAAGGAGTTTGTTAATGCAGGATGGAGACTACAGACTAATCCTCACCATGTACCTGGGTGGATGCTGCCAAGAGGAAAGACACCAGGAGCTGGCCACGTTAACACACGCAGCAGGACGTGCTTTGTACTTCGTATCCTGAACAAAATTCTGATAGTGCAATATTTTAACAGGGAGAAGACTACGAGGAAAAGCATTCTACAATGTCAATGGCAAGGTGTACTGTGAAGAAGACTTCCTAGTAAGTAAGACTTCAGGCATTTTTTTCACTGTTTTTAGACCAAATTGTTCTTTCATATTGTGTTTGCTTGAGAGTTGGTTTTGTCTTCTGGAGTACCTTTCTGCCAATGCTGGAATTGGGAAACATTTTACTACTAATTCCATAACAGGATTGGGCCCATAGTTTGAAGGGATGGGTATGAAACCAAGTGTGTAACTGTTCATAAGCCATTACAAAGTATAAATTATGAGAATAAACAATGGAGCTGCTTAAGCTTGGGTCTTATTGGATCCACAAATCCTGTCAAACTCAACCTTAAATATCTGGGGAATGCAAGTCACAACAAGAGGGAAGACATTTCTGTCTGGAGCACGTCATTGCTGTGTGTGTTGCTGCCGGTGCAGTTTTAATATCACAGCTCTGCTAGGAGCGATGTGGAGCTTTGCTGTGATTAGCTAAAAACCATGAGCCGTAGAGGAGTAACTAATTTTCTTTCCATGCACCCAGAGTTTTTATAAATGCTGTATGTTAATAGAAACTGAGTCATGAAAAAGGAAAAGGAAGCTTATTGCTGGGTTGAGTTGTTCCAAAAATGAAGTATTTGTGCAATTAAGGGTGCAGATTGTGCAGTACACAGAGATGATTTCATAAGTGGCACACCATTTATAATTAGGAACGAATGAACAGTGTGGCCGGGAATTGAACTGCTACGTTTCAGCTTATAGGATGATGAATTGGAGAAACCAGTATGTTGAATTTACAGCACCTTTGTTGTTCACTGAAATACTGTTCATTTAGAATCATGGGTCTTCAGAACAGCTTTCCATTTCTAATGAAAATATGTCCATCCTTTTTGCAAGGGAATTACTCAGAGTATATCCCACAGCAGAAGTATTGCTGGTAGTACAGGCTGCACAGATGCATTTCTCATCAGTGCAATCCATGAAAACTATGGAAATTCTTAGAATGTAAGCCATGTTTGCCTTTGTGTTATACCTGTATTCTCAACCTACCACAGCTGGAAACTCCCAAGAAGAGCTGGTCATATTTTGTACAGAAAGGTTACTTTTAGTAATTGAAATACATTACTGTTTTGCCTGTGTTTTGGAGTGAAAATGTTATTTTCTTCCATGCTTTTTTCAACTCCTTCTTGCCTCTGTTTCTGAGAAGTGTAGAGAGACAGAGGAAAAATAGAGTGTGAGGTGGAGAGATTTTTGACCCTTTGAGATTTTTATTTTGTACTGTGTCAGAATGTACTTTTTCCATGACCAAAACCTCTCACACAGACTCAGTGGACATGATTGTTGCTATTAGCTTGTAATCTCAGCCTAAACAAGGCAATTTTAAATCTGAAAATCGACATCTTTTTGGAGAACATTCAGGCTTTGAGTGAGGAATTGACATGTTCTGTAGTAGGCTTCTGTAGGGAGATGCAGTGATTTTCCCAATAAAACAGGTTATGGACCTGATAGAAATACATTTTCTGCAACTGTGGGAGCTGTTGGGACATTTAAGGTGTAGATATTTAAGCCTAATCCTACTGTGGGCACTTTGTAACAGATTTCTCCTAGCATGGGGAGATGAGAGAGAGACAGACTCAAGGACTGCAGCAAAATGCAGCAAAAGAAATTAACTTCTGAAATTATCCCGCCAGCATTAAACTGACTGCTTCTCAGAAAGTGATTTTGCTCTCTTTCATTTTCCCTTGAGCAAACCTCATAGCGAGAATACCAGAAATTGCCTTGTTTCTCTAATTAAAACAACTCTGCCGTCTTCAGAGTCCTGTGGACTGAGCAAGCTCAGAACAGAGCAGTCAGAGGAAAAGGCTGCATAGTAGCATTCAAAAAGGAAATCACTTTAACTACTTCTTGCCTCCAGATCTTGCTCCTAAGCTGTGCAGAAGCCTCGTGCTGTCTAAAAAGACGTTTCTCTGTCCAAAACAGAGAGCCAATTTTTTTTTTCAATATAACTGAAAATTTAAAGCTCCAAACTTTCCTACAGCTTTATATACAGATTAGCTGCTGACCACAGTATGATGTTAGTCAAAGAGCTGGGGAGGTGGATTGTGTTTAAAAAAAAAAACAAAACAAGTTGCTTCAGGATGTCTGAGGCTAATCTTGCACTCAGTTCTGTGAGCACTACTATGAGAGCTTTGCAGGTCAAGAAGCAAGCTGGCAAAACTATAGGAGCTGCTATGCACTGTCCCTAGAGTGGCTCCATAGTCCCCACAGAGACCTGCCTTCCGCCCCACAAACCTCTGTGTGGCCAGTAGCAGCTGCAAGAAGAGTACGTACTCCTATCTACGTCTGTTGCACTGTGAGACTTACTTGTTGTCTCACTGCAGCTTCTTTCTGACTATTAAATGCAGGCTGATTCTGGTCTCATTCTTAAGTATGGAACATGGAAAAATAAATAAATATTGGAGAGGAAAGCAATAGCAATTGACCTGCATTGTGATTGTATTCCTGCTAAGAAAATACTGTCTCCTGTTGGTGTCCTTGTCCCTTTGGCTTTTGTTTCTCTGAGAACTGATGAGTTACATGGTCCTATATGTGTGGGAATGTTGTCACAGTTGCAACCTTGCAGCTGGTGACCTGGTTATTTATTATATAAATTTGACCCTTTCTTTGAAAGGTGCTTTTAATTTTTGGACAGAGGTGTTACAGAAGTGCAGATGTTGTCTGCACTGTAAAATTGCATTATGAGCAATTTCCACTGTGCAGCCATAAAACTACCCAAAGCACAGATACACCCATCAAAAACCTTTGGCAGTAGCCACAAGGTACATTCTTCTAACAAATAGTTTTCCCACATGTTTGCTCTTATTGAGGGCACAGATTATCTTTCTCCAAATCAGGCAGCTTATTTTGCTCATTCTTTCCAAGAAAGAGACGCTACAAGTTTTGAGACATGCTCGTGGAATTGTAGATGGAGGGAAGATGCCACATGGCACTGTTGGGATCATCCTTGGGTAATAGTGCTAACCTCGATGTGTGAGGGATCCTGAATCAGTGTTAGGGCTGGTGAACTGCACCTACAGGAGGGGACGTGGCATTACTCTTTATTTGTTGTCAGCCTCCCAGTCCTGACCAGCTGCAAATTCAGCCAGTGCGTAGATCCAAGCCACATGGACTAAATGTAGTGAAAGAATCAGATTTAGGAAAAAAATCACAGTGCCAGATAATCCTGATCCTACCTTGGTGTGCTGTAGAAATGTCCTCATCTACAATTTCTGGTAGGAGCACTGTGGTAGCTCACAGAAAAGAACAAAACAGAAAGCCCTAACTTTTCACTGGCTTGCTATGGCTCCAGGGAAGATACAGTTACTCTTCTTATGCCACCTTAAGGTAGCAAGTCCAGCAATTTCCAGCTCTTGCCTCAGCCCTGTTAGGATACTTATTTCATGAAAGGAAACAAAACAAATGACAGTTTAATCCTTCCCTGAAAGCTCTGAGGATACAGATGGCTAACTAGCCATAACAGGGACGCTGTTCCTGGTGAACAAAACATCAATTCCTTACAATATAGTAAATAATCCCAGTCAGATGGCTTCTGCCATTTTGTTGATAAATTGCTGCCTAATCATGGGTGAAGGAAAAGCAGCTCAATAATTTTGTCTTTCCTGTTCAATGCTTAAATACCATGTAAAGAAATTTAAAATAAATTGCTGTTTTTCTTGGAGAAAAAAAACTTTTAAAATGTCACAAAGCAGCCTGAATCTTAGATCTGTTACTGCATTTTTAAAAACTTTCTATGGGCTTATTTTTTCTCTTGAGGTAATGAACATTATTGAGTGGGGGTCCAGCAGAGGTTTAGAAATAAGAGAACTTCCCTCCAAGGAAGAGATCAGAGGGAAAATGAACCTTGTGACAGCTGTTAGTTACATTGCTTAGTGTACTACTGGAAGACACTCAGATGCTATGGAAATAACCAATTACAGACACTACATGCTGCACTGCATAGCATTAAGGTCATACAAAATTTCCCCTTTTAGGATGATTTTTTCCCCTGTCTTACAACTTTGCCAAATTTAATCTTTTAGGCTGAACTTCTCCATGCTGGGATTTTGCCTCTGACTAACTTTGCTGTCAATTTTTGTTGAAGGTTTCATCTAAATCTATTCATCTATTTCAGTGAATGAGACTGGAGGAAGGTCTGTCACCTTGCCTATAAATCCTCAAGGAGAAAAGCTCTAAAAATGTCATTTTACAGATGCCAACCAAACAGAGAGACATATGATGTTGGGAGGCTTTAAGGTGCCCCCTTTCTGCCCTTTGTGTCCCTGAGTATGGCCAGCCCCACCATGACGGTGTGCTTCCTGCCCTGGCCACGTTCCTCTCTACTCCAGAGGCACAAGGGCTGAGCAGATGGAAGGTCATCAGCCTACAGTGCTAACAGAGCTGTGCCTTGAAATCATGCTGGCTGCCTCTCAAATCTCCCCCTCATTCTAGTTCTCCAGGGTTTCTAATCATTCCTTCCCACCAGCAACTGGTACCTCTTCTTAACACCGCCTTCTTTGCCACAGCCCTAGCCTCTTCTCTGTAACTGACCACTGAACACAGAAGTTGGTTACAGAGAACATACTGGGCCTCATCTTAGATCCACAACTGTAAAACACTAAATATTTTTAAAGGTATGTAAGGGGCAATGAATGCAAGACTGGCAAGGAGGAGACAAAGATCATAGGAGCAAGGAGTGGGATATTAATGGAGGGCTAACTGGGTGATTTGCACCTTCATCTCCTGTAGCACCAAGTAAAATGAGACCCTGACCCTAATTTGGGCCTCTAACATACATGGCTGAAATGTAAATATTAATGATAATGAAGCTATTCTTTTCAGTTTGCACACATGCTGTTTTCTACAACTGGCAGTGTGGGAAATAGTCTGTTCCACTTGCTGCATCCTCAGGAAGATTGTTTTTATTTAGTGTAATGGAAGCTGGTGTCAGCTGGAGCCAGAGGTTTGATTTTCCACCTCAGTATAAGTGTTTGGGAGGTGAGCACTGGGACTGGTGCATTGGTCCGAGAGCCCATCGCTGCTGACGGAAACTCTCAGAAAAAAACAGAATCCAGCTGAAAGGTAAACGACTTAAGTTGTAGTTGTGCCCATTTGATATCTAATGGAAGTCACAGAGCAAATGTAGTTTAGACAATAGCTAGGATGTTGCATTTAGGAGACTTGAGATTAAAATGCATTCTCCAGTTAGAGAACAGACAAACATTGCTTATCAATATGTTTACTGGAGTAATGGAATGAAAGCTTGGAAAGGAATTTGCTGTGTGGTATTTCTGGTAGATGTAAGTTTGAGGAAGTCTGTGAGTATTTTAAAGGTGCTGACTGCTGTAGGTTGGGACAGGAGGGACTTTCAAGTTCCGTAACGCTGATACCATTAATCTGAAGTGGACAAATCCAAGTCATGTGCCTTGAAAGGCAGTCAGTTACCAGCTGAATTCCTGGGTTTTGTCAGTGTTTTCACAGTCCAACAAATTCTGTGCTGAACGTAAGGTCTATCCTTGCCCAATCCATGTCTTTCAGCTGCAACTAAGTGGAAATGCAGAAACATGAAGATACGCTGCTGTGGTAGTGTTTCCTTACTGGCAGTAAGGCAGGGCACAGCAACAGGGTATATGAAAGGTTTTCCAGCAAGATGAAGGGTAAGGTTCTGGACTGTTTTGCTTTAATCTCTGCCACCTGCTCTGAGGCTCCAGTATCTTTGATATCTGTGAAGGCTCCATTTTGTTCAGTTCAATTTAATCACTGCATTTAAATGTGTGTGCAAAAAAAAAAAAAAAAAAAAAAAAAACAGAAAAAAACCAACCATCTGCATGAAACCAAATTTGATATTCTCTCCCTCTTTTAATGTGACCCCATGAATTTCTTGCATTGTTGTATCCCATGTACTAAGGGTCCCATGCAGAGCGCAAACAATAGAGCAGTGAGAAGACAGATGCTCTGCTAATGGGAAACCAAGGAGAAGAGAGTCTGTGAGGGATTACAGGCAGCCTGGGGTTGGAATACATTATTAGCATAGCACCCAATTCAGAAATTAGTTTTCCGAATTAAATGCCTACAGCATTTTGGCAAAAGCTCCTGATCATACCTCTCAAAAGCCCTTGAAGCATAAAAGGGTAAGAATCTCAATTCTAGGCTTAACATTCACATTCGGTGACTTTGCAGTGCTGTAACAGTTTTTACAGCTTCATACCATTGGCAGTAACTGCCACACCTACTGAAATGTAACCCACTTGATCTGTTTGCACAAACCTTTAGCAGGTTTTGAACATCCCCATCAAAGAAGAAAATGGGTCTGAATGAGATTCCAGGGTCTGTTTCCAGGAGGAGGGTTTTGTTTTATTGAGTACGTGACAGCAGGGAAGTGCATCGGTCTCTCCCTGGGCTTGGTTAGGCATGTGAAGGAGAAGCAGTGACACGTCCCTTCCAAGCTCTGATGTTGCCTAAGGTAGAAACTTGGGATCCCGAAGCCTCTGTCAGGAATGCTTTGTTTTGTTTGGTTTTGCTTCTGAAAATCCCAATGAGAGTATTGAACTTTAAAAGGCCCTGGCTACACAACCAACGTTGGTTGGAGGGTTCAGGGCAGACAGGAGAAATGTTTTCCTACCGTACTTGGTGGGATTAACCTCCATGCATAATTGTCCATTATATGTCCAAAATTCATTGTTAAATTCTTGCATATTAGACAGAACCGTTCATAAACCCTAAGATTTTCATAGAAGGACACTATCAGTCCTAAATATTTGAGACAGAAGGGGACTTGTTCTTCTCTTTGTGCCTGTTAGATAATCAAAGTATAGTGGACAGCGAACAAAAGAAAAGTTCAGCCAGCTAAGTCTTCTACTTTATTTTCACTCTTCCGTTCTGGCATACGTTAATCATATCTCAAGGTTTTCTAGAGTCTTATTTTAGTATAAATATCATTGGGGAGTTGGATTATGAAGGTCTTGATTCTTGCGCATAAACTGAGATTTTGTTATCCTGAGTGAGAATTCAAGGACAAGGTAAATATGGGAGAAGGCATCTGGGACCAAGTCAAGGAATTGGGAAAAATATTTTACCAGCTCCTTAGCATTTACTTGTTTTCTTTGCATTTTGGTAATTAGCATCTTACTTCTAATCCACAGATGGGACAGTAAAGAATAAGGCTTCATTTTGAGCTTTGAATTTCACAGCAATTATTTCATAACAAATTCTTCGAATATTTTTGTATATACTTAATGAGCATCTATAACAAATATTTGAGAACGTTCAAAAATACACTTACTTGTCCTGGGTTCATACTGTGTGTATCCTTTTGAACGCATTTATCTAGTTTGAGGCTGGTCTGTACTTGTTATCTTCAGAAAAAAAATACATCTGAGAACTTTACAAACTAAGCCTCATTCTGTCTGCATTTAGAATGAAACTGTATGTATAAACTACTTTGTGTACAAGAAATGTAGCTAGGATGGGCTTTCTCAGCTAGGATCTTGCATGTCGATCCATTAATTATTTCACTGTCTTGTCTCAATCTGCTTTTCACGTCTCCAGATTATGAGGAAGGGTGGCATACCCAAAATTTCTTTTCCCACCTCCAGCTATGGAGTAATGTCAGTAATGACAAAGAGTACAAGTCTGTACAACCAAACCACTCTTCTCATGGGGTTGAATCGCTTGCAAGCTCTGAGGGACCAGTGCTGCTTCCACCAGCCACACTGGGAACCCGTCATCAGGGAGGCTCCTTGGTGTGCTGACAGATGATAATGAAGCCATTCTCCCTTGTCTGCTGTCCGGAGCAAGTAACAGTCTCTGTCTTGTACGCAGGAGGCTTGTGAAGCTTAGTAATTAGTAAGATTAGTAATCAACTGCTTCAAAGGCAGAGGTTGACAATTTTAATTAATATTTTAAGCTCTGCTTCTAAAATTGTAAACTTAGCACAACAGCCACGTCTGAATTCTCAAAGAGAAGAGAACAAACTGCAGAGGTGAAGTTGACTGACAGGTGAGAGACAAAAAATGTAGAGATGATGACATATTGTTTACCTCTAAACAGCACTGCCATCAGATGGAGAAATGGTGCTGCTGTTTTCCCTGCCTGCTACTATTTTCCAGTCCAAAGAGAGGTAAAGCACAAGCAAAGCCTAATCTACCAGCTGTCAGTAAAGCAGGTTTCTGATTTGTCTGAGATCAGTGCTGCGATCAGGAAGAAAGAATAGTGTAGCGGCAAAGGGGCAGTTTCCCAAGCCTGTGAAATATTTTATCACTGATATCAGACTTATTACCATGTTATGAAGTCGTCTTAATAGAGTAATGTAGTTCTGAATGTAGCAAATAACAATTCTCTTGTTAAAAACAAATCAGGGTTTTAATATAATAGGGTAAGTCGTGTAAAGAGTGATTTTGTGTCAGCAAAACCTTTCTTTCTGACAAACAGTGTAATTTATGACAGTCTAGTTAGCACTAAATGACATTAATGTGACCATTAAGCCATTCTCTTCCTGGGAAATAACGTTCTTTCTTAATCAATAGCTGGGTAAATGCTCCTTTGCATTCCTTATCAAACGACAGCCAGATGGTACCGGTAAATTCATTCCAGCAGGATTTTAGAATTAGCTGGGTTTGAATTATTGTTAATCCTCTGCTGTCTGTGCTGCCAGGACCTACCCACCTGTTTCCAGTAACCCTTCAGTTCGCAACCTTAGGAAACAGTCTAGCCAGATGGTTACTGAGATACAGCGCAGCCAAGAAGCATCCCGAGCAGCCAGGCCTTTTCTACCTCAGTTAGAAGAAAAAAGCAAGCATTTTGATACAAAGGCTGCTACTTGAAAGTGGGGAGGTGAACTCAGGTGTTTCGCCCAGACTTGCACATCAGTTTCACTGCACAATTCAGAGCAATATCTTGCAGAAAAAGCCACCTCTGTATGTGTTCCTCAGCACTACAGTCTCTTTTGCACAAGTTTCAAAGTTGAAGATTGCATAAGCTATATTCCTTAGTGTGGAGCTGTGTCAGCTGCCACAGCATCATTGGGTGACTTTTCAGGCCCACCAAAGTGTCTGCAAGACCTTTTTCTTCATAATCACTTTGTTGCATAACAGTAATAATTTTGCCTCCAACCTCTTGATCTGAAATAACATGTAATCCCCTCACGCTAATATAAAGGAAAACATATGGCAGCAGATCTATTGTGTAGTTTGCTGTCATATACAGCACAGGATAGAAAACAGCATGATGTTCATCTATTTCTGCAGCTAAAAGAGTGGCTACTAATAACCCTGTTATTTCTGTTATTTCAACAGTATTCGGGTTTCCAGCAAACAGCAGATAAGTGCTTTGTTTGTGGACACCTCATAATGGAAATGGTAAGAGACCTAAACTGTTTTATATCTTTTCTGATGTATTTTGGATAGTGGTCTGTTAGACAACATGCTTATTCGCTAGTCAGAATATCATTGTGTCTCCACTATTGTAAAGGCAGCGTTTCAAATTGAGGCAGTATTGTAACCTGAAGTATATTCTTGCTTACTTGGTCTGAAGTTGGGCGTCTCTTCTACCTGAGATCATGGGATGCCATTTTTCTTCCACATGCCAGTTAAAAAAAGAAATAACAAAGGGAGAATATAGGCCACAGCTTTGTATGAGCATGGTAAAGGAAAACGGGTTGTGCTCTGTAAGACAAGAGCTCTTTCAGTGGGGTCGAGGTCTGGGCTAGAAAAGAGAGAAACACTAACAATAGTCTTGAGGTTTGTTGCCAGCTCCGTGAGTTGCTTCTTGCTTTATTTACCTTCTGCCACTTGCTCTACATCTGTTAAAATCTGTTATTTGCTACTGTGATTTGCAGGGAGACAGTGGTCAGTTACTTTTATAAGAAAACAAGGAGCTGTGGTTTGAGCCAGATACTGCTGGCATCCTTCTCTAGGTGAAAGCAGGATAAATTTCATCTGTTCTTTCTAAGCAGAATTCCCAAGTAAAATGGCTTGCACACTGAAGAAGTGCAGATCACATGTATGCCAATGTTTTTCTCTTGCTCTAAAGTGTACATGAACGTTTATCAGTGCACATAATAGAAGTAGTGATTGCACTGCAAACACAAAGGTGCAGTAGGAGCTGGAACACAGACTTCACTAATGAGAATTCTGGCACATATCCTGGCACCACTGGTTGGACAAGGATATTGTTCGTTTTAGCCCAAGAGCAAACTTCTAGAGTTGTGTCATGCTGGGAGGGGGAGGGGTATCACAACTTGCATGCTTTGAACTGGCCTTTAATTGCAGGATGCCAGGCAAGAGTCTAATATCTTGTTGGTGGAGCTCAGTGGCCGGAAGCTTGGCAAGTCTGCCATTCTCCCATCAGCAAGTATACTCCAAAAAAAAAGGAACCTGCTTTGGGAGCTCCAGGAATTAAGCAGTCTTATTTGGCTAATTGCTTTGTGTTCCTCCTTAGGAGTGCACAGGCAGCAAACATGTCTGCACAGTCACATTACTGGTGTGCAACAGAGGAACAGTGCTGCAGCCCCACAGGGTTGGGTGCAGCCTGAAGCTTTCAAGGGCTGAAAGTGCAGTTGTTCTGTGCAAAGGGTGGCTGCACAACCACACCGGACTTGTGCTTGTTATGTAGCTGTTTGGATAGCAATGCATGCCTAAACACAAGTTGCATCTGGGTAGGAGCAGTCTTGCAAATCAAAGTGTCTGATACCAGTCACTGAACAGAAAGCTGTGCTCCATGTCTTAGTTCCTGTTGAACTTTACCTGTAGAAACAGCTGCAAGGTCACATCAGCTTTGTCAGTGGAGATTCTCCCTGTACAGTCTATTAGTAGCTGAGTGCTGCTGCTAGCAGAAACTTTTTGAAATTACCTCCCAGAGATAGTGGTTACACCTGAAACGTGTACAATTGGTGCTATAATCTCTTGAGAGTTGCCTGAAGATGGAACCTTGTCTAGTCCTTCCCAGAACCTAGTCCATGAACTCGGTGTGCTATCTTTGATGGCCCTGTGCCACGCCACCTCCACTAAGTGGAAGGGATTTTATAACAGTATTGAGAAAACTGCATAATAAAGGCTTTCTGTGAAGCTTCTAAAATAACGGAATCACAGCATTAGAAGGGACCTCAAGAGATCACTGAGTCCAAAGCCCCTGCTAAAGCAGGTACCCTACAATAGGCCACGCAGGCAGATGTCCAGACAGGTCCCGAATATCTCCATAGGAACAGGCAGTAGGGAAGGTCAGCATGACAGAAGCATGGGCAGTTTTGATTACTCATTGATACAGATCTTAGCAAAAACTGATGGGCCCCTATAACTGAGTAATAACTGGTCAGTAAGTGTGGTGGAACAGGAGTTTTATTATTTTACTGCGTAGGTGTGAGCAATGGCTACTTTAGACTCCTGTCACGGTCTGATGCATTTTGTGAATTAACTCTGTATCCTACTCACTTGTGTTTGACTGCAACAGATTTTCCAAGTAGTCTGTGAAGCTGTTCTTAGTTTCTGTTGGGCAGTATTAGCCATGCAGAGCTAATACTGATGGACTTAATCTGATTTTCACAGATCTCTGTCATTATTGGGAGCCTGATAGAAACCCACAGAAATCAGGAACTTCGTTATTTTAAAAGGCCCCTTGCTGACAGAACTCCAGATTGGTAAATTCATCCCAAAGCATGTGCTTCTGTCATTTTTAAAAGTCAGACACAGCAGTGTATGAGGAAGGATTTCATGTAATTGTGCACCCATTTACTTTGCTCTTTGCCTCTTAAGATCTTACAGGCCCTTGGAAAGTCATACCACCCTGGCTGCTTCCGCTGCGTGGTATGTAATGAGTGTTTGGATGGAGTCCCCTTCACTGTAGATGTGGAGAACAATATTTACTGTGTCAAAGACTACCATACGTAAGTAAACAAATCTATTGTATGCTTAGAAGATTTATACCGGTTAAGTTACTGGTACAGCTGTGAGTCTTGCAGTAGATGAAGAGTTATTCCTATTTGTTTAGCTGTCCCTTAGTGCTCTTCTCACACACTGCATTGTAAAGTTATCCTAAAACTCACTTGGTGGGTCTTGTGGGGAATTCAAGGGCTAAGTGAGGTTGAAAATGAGGTCGTATTAGAGGATGTATTTCTCTGCTGGCTGCTTCTCTACTTCTTTCAGGACTTAATTACTAATTAGATGTGGCTAATTCTGCAAGTGGTGGTAGGTTCTGCGAGTGTCCAGATGCTAGTGGTGCGTGATACTTGGGAATGTAAGTTACATCAAGTTAGATGGGACAGTAGACATAGAATTAGCAGCCAGTGTTAGAATGATCTGACCTTCACCGGATGAAGTTTTACTGTTTAAGTGATTGCTTTTGGACTCTTTTCTACTCTTGCTCAAAGGAAATGTAAATGCTTTCTTTGCTCCAGCCAACTAGTAACTCAGCTCGTGGATCAAGAGAAAATCACTTTAAATTCATTTGTATTGGTCTGACTGTATTGTGGGGATGGAGTGATGTTGGCCCAGTGACTACCATATAATGCAGCTGCAGGTAAAACCAGCTGATGTATTTGGTTTGCACAGATCCTAGCTGAGATCAGTCCTTCTTCCATTTAGCATGCGAGCTGGTGACCGGCCAGGTCAGGAGCTACTTTGCACAATTTGAATAAAGAAAGGTGAGAGAAAGGGCACGTATAGAAAGAGGGGTGGATTGATAATACTTAGAGGTCAAGAAGAGCTAAGCAATAAAGCTGGGGTAGATACATCTTTCTAAGTCTCCTTTTCCCTGAATATTGTAAAAACAAACAAACAAACAAAAAAACCCCAAAACAACATAGAGATATCTTCAAACCCAGGTTTACATTTTACTAAAAGAAGGCATGGTAAGAATAGTTCTCCTGGTTCTACTTTTTGAAGAAACTTCAAATGTAACTTGAAAATGTCTTCTTGCTCCCTAGGGTTTTTGCACCAAAATGCGCTTCCTGTAACCAGCCGATTCTACCAGCACAGGTACATGTTAATGTGCACAGACTCGTTACAACAAACAGCTGTTGGCATAAGAACACTTTCCAAGAACTTTTCCTCCTTCTTCCACAACGTATGTCAGATATTAAATTAAACGCAGTTCAGCAGTAATGTCACTCCCAAACATTCCCAGAGGTTGTAATAGTCATAGTGCTTATGTAGCATATTACTTTGTATCATTAGGGTGCTTTCCAGGTCTTAATTGGGCTGTTATAAATCTCGTTTAATTGAAAGCCCTAACTGGGGCTCCAAGAACAATCCAAGAAGTAAAGCTCTGTTTATTTTTAGAATTTCCCATTAGCTCAAGTAGCAATTTTCCTTGTCCGCTATGTTTGCTTTTCTGATGTGCATCTGTTAGGATGCCCAAGCTTGAAAAGACAGCTGAGGGGTTACCCTGACCCTCAGAAGCCACACAGCCTGTTGTCGTGGAAGGTCACTATAATGAAGTGGTTAAAGGGTGGAAAAGGAGGTAGAAAAGTTGCCTAAAAGGAAAGCCAGATGAATGACTGCTGCTTGCAACCTCAGACCATTGTGATGGTATTGTTAGCACAGTAAGACTCTGGAAAAGATGATCCCTTTCTGCCTGCCCACAATGATGTTCCATTAAACTCCAGCAGCTGCAGGACCCTCTGAGTTCCCACTGCTCATGTCACTGGCCAGCCTGATCACAAGGAAGGCCCTTCGCGCCTTGTTTCTCCTCTCATCAGGCACATGTAGCCAGAGCGTGCCTCCTGTAAGCTGCTGTGCCCTAGTAAAGTCTGTGGCCGGAGCCTCTCAGTGTGCCCACCTTTACCATGCCACATTATCCTACGTTTGTGCTAAATTAAAAACCTTAGGAAAGCTGGGCCAGAATCTCGTGCCCTGCTGATGGTGGTATAAGGAGTGAAGTTTCCATAGAGCTTTTCTAGTTTCTTGCCTTACAAAATGATTAAAAAATTAATAATTATTAAAAGAAGGTAAAAATGCAGTCCTACTGCTGACTCATCTGATGGTTAGCAGGATAGACTCCATGTTCTTTCCCACGGAGGTTTCATAGGTTAGTTCACATCCAGCAGTGCAGGTGCTAACCTGCCTGTGGCTTCTCTCAGACATAGTCTACGTCATATCTGATGCTCTAACCACGCCTGGAACTGCAAACAGTGTGGGTCAGCAAATTTAATGAGCTCTGTCTTCAGAGGCATGGAAGTGGCTCAGGGAAAGGTTCCTGTAACCTGTGAGGTTACAGGAAGGGTATGGGCAGCTTGGCAGAGCCTGGGGCTCTGCCAGGTATTACACAGCTCTACTGCATCCATCATCGCACTGGGGCTTTGGCCTGTGTGCATAATTACATGCTAGACAGCTATGTAAAGGACCGTAGGGCACATACACTGCCACGTGCACATGCAGAGTAGCTGTGCACCAGCTAGTTTGAGGGGAATGAGTCTGCTAGGAATAGTGACCTAGTCATTATCTCATAGTGTTTGGCTTATAGTTTGTTCAACTTCTGGGTGCCCTTGGAAAATGATTTTATTTCAAGAGAAAAACTCTCTTTTGAACATGAAATTTTAGCTATGCCTCCCAAATTACCTTTACAGCCTATTTCAGACATCCACAGGACTGCTTAACAGGAAAACTGGTACTGCAGTGCAGTGCATGGAGGGAAAGACCCTCAGCAGTTACAGAGTTCTGTTCTACAAAAGGAGAAGGGATATCTTACACAGAAGCACCTTTCCAAAGCTGTATGTTGGGCAACATACTGAAAGAAGATTGAGAAAACACCACTTAAAAGCCCACTCTTACCTTTTCTGTGCTTCTCCAACAGGGATCTGAAGAAACCATCAGAGTAGTGTCAATGGACAAAGATTACCATGTGGAATGTTATCACTGTGAGGTGAGTGTCACAGAGGAGCTGGGCTGAGGCACTGGACAAGGATTGCTTATACCAAACATTCTCCTCTCAGTAGATGCATGGTTTGCAACCCAGGGTGCGTTTGCTGACTCCTGCATGCCTGGGCAGGTAGGGCTTTGCACGGTGGCTTCTGAAAGGAGCTGGAGGAATGAGTGCTAGCTGCTATTTCCAGTAGTACCAAATAAGGTTCCTTTTTTTTTTTTTTTCCAGTATATTAATTTAAAAGGCTGAGTTTCATTGTGGTGGAATTTTCTCTGTACTTGTAGATGGGGAGAGAACATAGAGGAAGCTCTGGGTCTCTTTTTCCTGATCTTTTTGGATACAGTTTGTGTGGCTGTGATATGAGGAGGTTTGAATTTGCTTATGCAGGGAAAGACCTTCATCCTGTGCTGGAAAGTTCTTCCAGGGGATTTGTGTGTTTCCATGCTGGATGAACACTTGTTTACTACATAAGAGAGGACAGTATCGATGACAGTATTTTTGTGCAGAACATTCAAACATTTATTGGAGCAGATCAAGATCTGGGACTGGTGCTTTTGCTTCACAGCGAGGAGAGCTCAGTTGAGTGTTATCTGTGCAGCCCAGGAATACAAGGAAGGAGACAAACTCTTTAATTTGAGATCAACCTTTCGTGCAATCCAGCTCAAAAATGGTTTTATGGAGAGGTTTCCAATTGAGGGAGAAGGATAGCAAAATTTGGGGCATCCTGAAATGTATGTTTCAGGACCTACATCTGAGCCTATGCGCCTAGCCAGCTCCTTCCAACAGAGGTAGCTGATACTCAAGATAAATTGGCATAGGACATTTCAGCATGTGGAGAGCTGTATTTCCCTCCCTTCTTCCCTCAACTATTGCTTTGTGCGGGCTTCACTTAAGATGACAGCTCCCTCCCCTTCTTTCTCAGCCTATTGACATTATATTAGAATGTCCCAATGGGGGTTTGTTTTCTGTTCTGTTTCATTATTCATTTCCCCATTCTCTTTTCAGTTTGAGGCAAATTAAGCTGCTTCCACATCTGCTGAGAACGGCAGAGAACATTTATGTACAGTAATCAGAGGTTAGCCATGTGTTGGCAGGGGTAGGTTACTGCCTAATAGCTTCAAATTAGGCTCTCAAACTGTACACACTGGGTCACTGCTGTCTCCAGCTATGCTAGTTCAGTCAGTACCAGTATTCTGAGGTATGCACACAGACACTTTGCAAATGTCCAGTTTGTAAGAAATGTCATTTAAGTTGTCATCCACCATTTGTTCATCATGCAAAGTCAGTAGTCAAGCTTGGAAACTTTTCTACTTTCCTGTGTCATCTTTTCCTGGTGTGACAGCTTAACAGCTGTAGCGAAACCTCAATAGATTCTCAATCTGAAACTGAAATCCACTGAAGAAATGGACTTTCTTATTACAGAAAAAGGAATACGGTTTTAGAGAGTTTTTGTTTGATTTGCATCGACATTGAAAAGATGGAGAGAGGAAAAAGAATTGGGCTAGAATTGGGCTAGAATTACTATAGCTAGTCCTAGTAGATTTTAGTGATGTCATTTTGTTTAATGCAGGATAGACAGGACCCGTCTACCATAAACTCTTGATGTTGCTGTCTTTTGTGGTGCGAGAGGGAGCTTGCAGGGTTAATCAGTGTTGATATAAGATGACCTACCTGAGTCTCTCATAAAACTGGGATGTATATTTTCCTTCTAGGATTGTGGCTTGCAGCTCAATGATGAGGAAGGCCATCGTTGTTACCCATTAGAGGGCCACTTGCTCTGTCACAGCTGTCATATCAGGCGCCTCAATATTAAGTTGCCATCGCATCCCCCGCCAAGCTATCCAATGCACGTCACGGAACTCTGAAAGACATTTCCATTGCCAGTAAGCCGTTTAAAAGAGAAGACAAATTTAAAAGTGACTTTCCTGTTCCTTTAAAGATATTCCAGTAATAACCTTCTAAACCATCTATTTATTTTTTAAATCAGAGGGAAGGGCTTCTTTCTAATCTTGTATATATGCATTCTTTTATTTAGACGTTTTCACTGAGGCACCGTCTACTTGAACAAATAACGCGCCATCAAGTCATAACTGTAAGTGGCAGCATTTTTAAAAACAGTGGTACAAAGGGCTGTTCTGCACTCCTTGCTCACGTTTCTTCAGTGGAGGTTTTGGCCAAGTAAGGAGTACAGAATAAATTTCCAAAATTTAGCACCTTTATCACATTGCAGCAGGCATGGTAAGATAAATGCCAGCATTTTCACTAGTTTCCTTGAAATCTGGTCTTAGAGAATACAAGTCTCACATTTTAAAAACCGTACGTTCCCAGAATTAGTGAATGGGAAGCAAACGAGTGTCTTCAGCAATGACAGCTTTCGGCATGGCTTAGATAATGGCATTCTGTGAAGACATATCAGGACAACTTTTCAACCTACGTGTTCCACAGTGATCTAAGGACTAACTTTGTTAAAGAAGAATGTCAAGGGTCTCATAAAAAACACGTTACAGAAGAATATATCCAAAAGAACAGTGCATGCAGGGTTGTAAAATTGAAGGAAGGTACTGAGCTCTGTAATTGCTTGTTATGTACAAGTGTAGCCGTAGCTTCAAAACGCATTCACATGACATTGATGATTTGGCACTTAGTAAGCAATTCATCTTTAAATTTTTTTGTTTGTTTAATAGAGTTAGCAGCCCCTTTCTATGCAAAGGTAAACCTTACACTACCTGTTTTATGCAGGCTACTATTTGTTCATTTGTTACCAACTGCTTTAAGATTGTATGTTGAGACATTATTAAAATGGAGGGGCTGCGGTTTTTGTATTATCTTTTCAGCTTTGTGTTCTTTTCTAGATGTACTTTTCAACAGATTATGATGGTTATCTTCAATGGAAAAACACAACACAGTTTAGCAGAAATAATAACTTAGAGTCAGACAATTGAAACACTGACGTTTTATAACAAGTATTAGATGTACATAGAATGTACACTTTCATGTTTTGCATAAGCTGTTACAGTAACCTCAGAGCTCTGGGGAAATGTATGTCTTCCATATAGGAAGTTCGATGAATCTTTTTTTATGGTTTTTCTACCATGTGTTGATGATTTACATGCAAATCACACATCTGTATGTTTAAAAAATTCCTTGCATTCTCATGAGAATTTATCCAGCCTTCCTGAATTTATATTTTAAATAAATCCATCATTGCTGTCTTTGTATCCAAAATTACAATAAAATAAAGCTCTTCTGCTCCAGAGGAAGTGGAAATACCAGACCAGATTCTCGGCATGTGTAAATTGGGACACTTCAGTGCGAGTTCTCAGCATGTCAAGAATCTGACTGGCCCGTTCAGAAGTGATCACGTTAAATTCAGCATGCAGACTGATGAAACGACTTATTTGGTAACACCACTGCAGTTTAGTTTCTTATGCTCCACTGATTTTTTGAAAGCCATTTGTGGTGCTCTTGAAAAAAGTACAAAGGGCATCCAATGGACCCTAATTCCAAAGTGGAATAATTAACTCCCTTAACAGAATTTTTTGACAGTCTGGAATTTCCTTGGGGAGGTGGGGAAGAGCAGGGAGGCAGGAAAGATTCTTGTGCACTATTTTTTTTTTTTCTGTTAGTAAGGAACAAAAGCTATGTTTTCTGAACTTCTACCAAACTTCCTCTGGCCTAGATGAACCTGTTCTACTGAATGCTCTTTGGCAAGTCAGATACTCCTTTAAAAAGTAATTTTCTAATTAATATACAAGTTAGTGTGAGAGCCGTGTTTTGTAGGAATTACTGTATAACTAGTGTCCTGTTTCAGCAGTGTGAGCTAGGAATCCTCCTTTGCAGAAGGGTAGACACTGGCTGCATGCACGCATGCCTTTACCTCTGTGCCCATAGTCACCAAACCAGCCTCAAGAGGGAAGCAGAAGTACAGGTGCCTCTTGCCCAAACAGCAAATTCTGGAAAAAGAAACAATTGTCTTCAGTTGGGTTATATAACTAGGTGAATTCCATTAAGGTTACTACAAACACTAGGAAATGAAGATAGAGCTTCAGGATAAACTTTTAGCCTGAGCTGCAACGTAATACTTTTCCATTTAAGGAAGCTGCTTTGGCCCACATCTATCTTTGAGGTATTTCTAATTGCTTGTCTTTACAATTACATACTAAAGAATTCAAATTAAGAAAACAATCATTCAAATACACAGAGAATGTTTGAGTCTGTTCCTGTGAGCGAGTCATTCCATAGCAGTACATGCTGTACACTGATGCAAAAACCTTAAAAACCACTGTGGCCAGAGGTGGAGGTGACTCTGGCATTTAGCTGGGCTTCCACCAGCACCTTCCTCAGCACTTCCACCTCCAGTCAACAGCAAGGTTAAGTTTCCAGCTCAGCATTACTTTTCAAGGGTCAGCGTGATCTAACATGTACATGTATTTACCTTTTCCTCTTTTTTTTTTTTTTAAATGATCATACTTTAGATCAGAATAATATTTAATTTCACATGTCAATTTGTCCTGCTTGTAGTTCTGCTCAGTTCCAATGTGTTAAGTATCCTCACAGTGCTATGTTGAAAGTTACAGTTTCAGTATAGAATAGGAAATCTGTTTAAAACCAGAAAGCAGCAGTTGTTCCAGTATTTCCTACAGACAGGTGCATTTTGGTTTTGGATAATAAAGTTTGCTTTTCCAGCATTTAATATAAAAACTGGCAGTTGGGTGAGATTTGCCAGCTTTTAGTCAAAGAACAGAGGAAAAAAAAATAAATAAAAGCTAATCTGAAATAGCGATGCGTGCTGTAGTGCTAGCAACAGCTTCTGCACATTTTACCTCCTGTCTGGGGAACTATGTAAGTGAGAAAACTTCATTTAGTTATATTCCTAAGGAGTACATTCTTAAATCAGTTCAACACAGATGTAAACTTTCTGGAGCTCGTTTTATGACGTGGCTGTTCATCAGCGGCCTTTTATGTTCTGTACTGTCAGAATACGTCCATAAAGTTAAAACAACACCAACTATCAGGAACGCACCTTACCTCTTCGCTGAGGTAGTCTCACCAAGTCCCTGCAGCACAGAGCTGTTCTCGGTGATTCAGAGTCCCTCATGCGCTGGAGGAAGCGTTCCAAAGAAAGGACCAAAATAAAAACTGAAAAACAAAACAAAAGAATGCACTCAGATAATTGAGCTTTCAGAAGGAGTTTGTTTGGGTTTCTCTCTGTTTCTTTTCACTTGTGTGCACGTGTGTGTGTGTATGTATATTTTGTAAGGTGGAGCTTCAAAAGGAAAACATGGTAGAGGAGCTCTTTAAGACCAGAAATTCCAGAGTAGTTAAGTAAACCAAAGCTCTAAAGGAGACAAAAGCTGCTTTCTTGCGTTTCAAGGAAAGTTTAAAAGTTTGTCATTCATCCTGTAACTAATGCCGTAACTAGAGTGTATAATTTGACTTAAATTAAGTTTTCATTTGAGAAATATTTTCATTTTCTTTAAAAGAATATAGTTTTCTTCCAAGAACTTGGACCAACATTGATTTTTATTTTGTAGGAAATATATAAATTCCCTGTTTGTATATCATGTAACTAGTTTACATGCTGAAAATATACATTAGTTTAACTATTTTTGTATATATCCTTGTAAAACTTTTGAATGTGCTTCTGTCTTTTAGTTTTTAGAATTACTTGTGGTTTTGTGTTTCAGTGTTTGATTCCCTTGATTGTTGAAGAAAAATAATTGGGAAATGTAGATTTATTTATCTAAAGAAGAAGCTACTTGCTATCACCCTAAGTTATTTAATATTAAAGTCAGACGTTTCATTTAACCTTAGATGCTATAATCTGCTTTTTTTCAATAAAGACATTTTCTAGTTATCTTTGATTTTGCAGTTCATTGCATAAGTGATGTATGTTTCTTAATCTAGGTGGGCTCTAACACCATTTTCAAGAGACCTTTGTACTGCCTAAAGAAATGCCTAACTGATGTTAATTTATAGCAGCTGCATGCATGAAGGATTTTGGTCCTCCAGTGCAAGTGTTACTAATTAAGGTCTAAAACATGCCCACAGCTAATATTTTGCAGCTGCACTTAGAAAAGAATTTAGCCACTCTGGCAATTTTTAATTAAGCTTTAACCAGTCTGGAAAGCTCACATGCAGGCCAGTCAGTATGAAGGAACACTTCCGTTTCAAGACTTTCATGAGATCTCAGAGCATTCCAGAAGAGCAGCACAATCCTGGGCAATGAACTTGTGTAGGTCTTAAGTGCTAAGACCCTGGTTTGGGGAAGTTTCTCAATTTTTTGCCAAGCCATAGCAACAAAGAATCCCCGCCAAAGCTCTGATAGGATCAGAAAGATGCTCTTTTTTTTTGCATATATGTACGCATTTTACCTTTCTGAAGGTCTGCCTCCAGCTTCACAGCACAGATGGACATGTTTACCACTCACAGCAGTCCTGCAAGAGCAGCTACATCTGTCAGGCAAAAGATCTGTCAGCACTGGTATCTCCTTGTCAACTTTGGCCAAGAGTGGATGCCTGGGGAAGAGTTGAAGAATAAAGTTTTTTCCCTAGTTTCTGTATACTTACATTCCCTGAGTTTCTTTTAAATTTACCTTGTCACGGTCCCATCCCTATGGATGCTCTTTCCCCCAGTGACTTGCATCGAGTGTTCACAAGTGTGATGCCACTCTGTCCATCAGGGAGGCCTGCTGCAGCTCAGCCACGTTGGCTTTGCCAAGTACAAATGACTTCAAATTCAGAAATGAAACTTATTGGTGGGTTTCATACAACAGCTATTTTGGTAATTTTTTCTCCCACATAGTCAGAACGGAAAGAGTTACAAACAATTGTTTTAGAGACACAGTCTACACTTCTGTGCTTTGAAACAGATGTACTGCAGGTCTATAAGGACTTAGAAAATATATGCCACATTCTCACAATTCTTAAAAAACCATTCAAAGTGAGCAATTCACGCCCTCTTTGAAGACATAAAAAATATAAGACTGTCTAACTCGTAAAGCATTTTAACAGCACATCACCACGAGTGACACAAATGTAGTCAATAAAATCTGGGACATACTCATAATGCAGCAAGTATTTATGCCAACCCCTAACTAGCCTGGTTGAAAAGAACAGAACACTTAAAAAATAGTTACTGCCCCTTGTGGGCCTCCTTGCAGGAAACGCATGCTGGAAAATGAATATATATTCACTGCAGAGAGAGCATGAGTCAGGACCTGGTTCCCAGAGGGGAGCACCACAGAACTCTGCAGTTCCCTGGCATCTAAGCCACAGGGCAGCGTACCACTGGAAACTGCTACATGATGCATGGCTGCTAATCTGCTACATGCAGAATATTCGAGAGTGCTTTGCTAGCCCTGCTTTTCACCTTATCAACCATTCCCAGGTCTGCAACCTTTAATTTGCAGCTGGAGAGGTAAACAAGGATTTGCCAGGTCTCCCAGGACTGATCCAAGGACACTGGCTACTGATGGGAAACACAAGGACTGTGTGACCTAGACTGATGTCTGCCTTCAGCTCACGTCACTGTTACTCAACTTTTAGTCATCCTAATTCATAGGCTGAGGAATAAGTGAGGACTTGAAATAAGTGAGGTTAGACAAGACATCAGGAAGTCATCTGATGTGACACTTGCACTCCTCCCAGAAGGCCCAAAAGAAAGACTAACCTTATATGTGTGTAATACCTTAAATATTCCCTTGGGTGTGTAATTGAGGAAGCTGGATTTGCAGGCTTGTTCCTACCTCTACTGCATTTTCTGATCAGCCCAGTCTGACAGGTATTAGAGTCAGCTGCTCAGCATTCACATTTGGCGTTAC